ATATTTTTTTGGAAAGGAAAAGAATAAAAAAAAGGTTTTCTTAAACATTTCCGACGGAGTATAATTAAATATAAAAATCAATTAAAATCTATCGTAAATTTTAATTAATTAAGGCTAATTAATTTATTTAAATAAATTAAACCAATTTTTTGACGGATTTTCGACGGATTTGTGACAGTATTAAATAAGTAAAAAAAATCCGTTACAAATTCGTCGGGAAAGTTGTAGAAATAATTTTTATTTTATTTTTAAATTCAGTGATGGATTTGTGGGGGATTTGTGGCGAACGTCGACAAAAGTTTACTTTTCTTAATTATACAGAGCTCTGAAGTCTGAAAAGTTTTACTTCAGAGTTATTTCAAGAGTACAAATTCAAGTCTGAAGTTATTCTTCAGAGTTATACTTAAGAGTTATTTCAAGAGCACAAGTCTGAAGAGTCGTTCTAAATTTACTGCTAAGTTTAATTTCAATTTACTGATAAAGTTTCATTTCTAAATTTAATTTTATTCTAGGGTTAACTTCATTTTAACTAATTATTGATATAGTTTTATTTCTAAATTCAAGTATGAAGAGTCATTCTTCAAAATTATTCTTCAAAATCATTTCAAAAGTACAAGTCTGAAGTAATATTGTACTTGTTATCGCGTTCTTGTAAAATGAAAGTGTTCTTGTAAAATGAAAGTGTTCTTGTAAAATGACTTAGTGATGTTGTCACTTCTGGTGAGACGGTTTTCTTGTTTTCCCGTCTAAATACGTATCTAGACACAATTTACATTAATGGTTTAATTATACTCATTTAGACGTATCTAGACACAATTTACATTAACAGTTCAATTATACCCATTTGATTGATCACTACTAAAAAATGTGATTTTTCCGACGGCAAAATCCGTCAGAAATCTGTAGGAAAAACAACTATCCGACGGATATTACTGTCGGAAAATCTCTCGCCGTTAAATGCAAATTCCGTCTGAAATCTGTCAGAAATGTTCAAAAAAGTTTTATTTATATTTTTTTCCTTCTAAAAATAAATATTTAAAAGAAGTTCAAAATTTCTGACGAATAATAATTTTTATAATAAAAAATTATATTCCGTCAGAATTTATTAAAAAAAGTTTTTTACTTTTTCTTATGAAACATATATTTTTTTATAAATTTCGAGGCTGAGATTACGCATTGAATTTCTGGTAGTAGATCCATAATCAAAGAAGTGTATGTGAGTATTGCAGAAGAAATGAAACAAAAGATACGGTAGAACTAGGACAGTTATTGTATGAGGTCTACTCAGTGCTAGATGCAGAGGCGCATAATAGATCGATATGAACATTATGAGTTGTCCCGTAATAAAACCAGTTGTTGCTGATACCTTCTTCTCGGTTCCTTCTTCTCCTTCTTCCATAACGTGAGCTCGGAGAAGGAAGAGATAGGANAAACATCTCATTTTAAATATAAAAAATCTAAAATATAATTAGGATAATCATTGAGTTCTAACAGAATACTTAATTATTATCTTTATAAAATGTTATATCATTAAACCAAAAATAAATTATTTCGTTATTAAACTTAAATTTGTTCACATATTAACAACAATAAAACGAAGAACTGCATATTTTTTGCGGAAGTTAGAAAAGTTAACATCTTCTCCTAAACAACCTGACCGATGAGAAATTTGTTCACAAAATGAGATACTGAAAGAATAGAAGAAGATACTATTTCAGACATGTATAACTAAGATGGTCTTTTGATGTTGATGCCAAATTACCTACAAACTATCATTCAAAATTTATGTCAAATGAATGCGTTGTAACATTGTCAAATGTCGTATTTTATAACCACCGATGAATTAAATGATGTTTGTCAACTTTAATGTGTGTCTTCGTCTGATTTGTTGATCAATGCATACATGTATTTTTCATTTCAAGCTTTGAATATCTTAAATATATGATGTAGACATTTATTACCCCAATTCATTCTTCTGTTATTAAAATAGTACTTTGAACTTAATTTGCCTGACATGTTAAATATGTTCTCATACCAATACATGAGTTGGTAGGTGTTGGTGAGGCAAATATGCTGGTCAAGTTTGCACTTCAAAATCGGTTTGCCAAAACAGTGTTTGTTCAATTATTTTGACTTTATCTAGTACTGATCTTTAGTCGGCTAATGAAAATCCAAACCGCTATGGTGTAGATCTTGGCTTCACTTCAACTTAGTATTTGATTTTGCTAAAGCCATCTTGCTTTGGACCAATATTGAATACAATAATAAATATTTTTACACTAAAAATCATATTCTAATGCTTTTATCCGAAACATAGTCTATATGCCGAACCCAACAATATTACACTACACTTAATCTATAAAGACTTAAGGACCATAAACATGATTCAGATCATAATAGTGAACCAAATCCTTAACTCACTCCGGATCCTTCGACTTTTACTATTAAGATCCAATATGTATATCAAATTTATGTATTTCCGATCCTTCTACATTTCTGATCCATCTGATTACAAACGCCGCCTTTCGTCCCTGCTCGACGGGTGGGTCTTGCAGTCAAGCTCCCTTTTGCCTTTGCAATCGAGGGCCAATCTACGAACCTCATAGAGTTTGTAAACTGGATTTTAGACAAAGTTCAAAAACATTTCTATGTGTTTTATCAAATGTATTTGTCATATTATGAATATGATAAATGATTGCATATGTAGTTGATCCCAATTCTTAGTTTAATTTGATTTGTCTTCAGTGAAATGTAAAAGATTATCTTTTAATTAAAATAATTGTTATGATTTACAACACGTAATTTAATAAGAACGGATCAAGAATGGATACCGCAAGTTCTTATGCTCTCTTTCGTTTTCGGGTTTTTTTCTTAAATATCATAAAATAAATTATAAAATATAAAATCTCTGTTACTGTTATCCCAAAAAAAATCCAAGCTACAATTAATTTATGTTTTACTGATAGATCTAAAAACTTGTGTATAAATAAAAATCATGTGATCTATTTTCATCTAACCTTATAATTACACGAACCATTCTAACCACGTGAAAATAGAAACATCAAGATATGTTTGAATTTTCTTGTTTCCATATTTTCAAAGTTAAACAACACATTTTTCACATTATTTTCTTAAACAAGTAAAATTCATGAATATAAAAACTACACGTCTAAATTTTGAAAATAAAACTTAAATAATCTATATATATATATATATATTAAAGAAGAAACCACATGCAATGATGTGGCCTATTCTCAAAACAAGAAAATGATTTATCTTTATTCTCCTTTTCTCAAGCTTCTCCTATTTTAATATTTGTTTTTTATGTTTCATATTCACATTTAAGATCCTTTAAATAGGTTGTTTCAACCTATTCATGTTCACTGTAATAAATACTCTTTTAACTCTCATTATTTCTCTTTATTCGGTTACAATTTTTCATCTTTTCTTCATGGTACACCTCTACAATAATCTCTCAATTCTTCATCTCAATTCATGTATAATTTTGTGGTACATCTTTATGATAACCTATCTATTAATCTTTCAATTCTTCCTCTCTATTCATGTATAATTTTGTAGTACACATCTATGATAATCTCTCTATTAATCTCTCAATTCTTTCTCTCTATTCAGTTATAAATTTGTGGATGCGATTTGCATTTTTGTTGATTTGAGGTGTCATTCAATAAGACAAATCATAGTATGAGTTTTTGCTAATGTAAGTATAATATTTCTTTTTTAGTCAGATATATTCACATTAAAGTTGAAATTATGTAGGCATATGGAGTTTTTGTGGGATAAAGTGACATATGAATCCTTGAAGAAATAGTGTAACATTGGATAGAAAAAAAACCTCTCAATTTTTCCTCTCTATTCAGTTTTTGAGGTGATTTGCACTTTTGTTTATTTGAGGCGTCATTCAATAAGAGAAATATGATATGAGTTTTTGTTAATGTAAATATAGTATTTTCGTCTTTTAATTGGAGATATTCACACTAAAATTGGAATTATACAAACATATGAATCTCTCAATTCTTTCTCTCCATTCAGTTATAATTTTGTAATCAATATTTTCACATATTTTTTTTTTTATGATTTTGAACTAATCACAAAGTTTGATATAATAAAATATTATATATATATATATATAATATTAAAAGAACAACCAATAATGATAAGTTAGATTCATATATCAAAGGTAATGTTGATTCTTATTAGTTTAATATTTAAATGTGATCATCAACTCATTTAGCTAATTTCAATAAATTTTTAAAAAATTTATCGTCATCGCGCAACGCACGATGTCAAACACTAGTTAATATTATTCAAAATTCCAATGGAACGTACAGGAAAAGACCCTTGACGAAGACTACGTGACTATTTATTATTAAGAAACAAAACTCATAAATACGTATATTTTTTGTAAAATATAAACTAAAATGATCGTAGAAAGAAACCCACGAGATTTGTACTTTGTGCATATATATTTGTATCTTACTTAAAACATGTTTAAATGTTTTAAACATAATTCCAGATAATGTACATTAATGCAATGTTCATATCTCACCAAAATTTGTTTATTAAGGAAATCCACCATTCAACATCATACAAGAGATACATCTACAAAGAGAGCTACATAACACCATACAAACATTCAAAAATTTTAATTATTGTGTTTTAAAAATAACAGATAAATTAACTGATGATTGATAAATTGTAATTAATTAGAAAACCAGTTGTTGGCTGATAAATTATTTGTAGTTGGTATTTGATGCCCAAAAATAAATGATTTGAGAGATGTATTTGTATGAATTTCCCTTAATATTTGTAGAATCCTTGGGAAGGTTCAAAATAGGTCGATTTGACCCACCAGTCATGCCAACGTGGCAACCCACACCTTTTGCCCACCTCTCATGCAAAATGCTACAAATATCCATCAATTTCTTGTTTATTTATATACTTCAAACCCTCTCCTTCTTTCCCCCAACATTCCCACCACAATGACTACTACTGATCTTGAACATGCCACCTCCTATTCTCCTTTGCCGGATTCCGACCACCACCGTCCACCGCCGTCTCAATGGCGACGACCCATCACCCTCTTGTCAGGAATCTTCCTTTTCATGCTACTTTTTTCGTCTTTAATAGCTCTTGTCATCAACCAACATGGTCAACAACAAATCGCCGGCGACGGAACACCGTTGTCCTCGAACTCAGCGCCGGCGGCAAAGAAGGTTTTGGAACCCATTTCAAGAGGGGTTTCACAAGGGGTGTCGGAAAAGAGTAATTTCCAGCTGTCCTCCGCCGCCGCTGTGGTGGAGACATACCCTTGGACCAATGCTATGCTATCTTGGCAAAGAACAGGCTTCCATTTTCAACCTCCAAAAAACTGGATGAATGGTACTCAACATAATTAATTGATTAATTATTATTCATGAATTCACTTTCACTGATTCATATATTTTCTTTGTTGGGTTCTTCAACTCCATTGATGGTTTCTGCTGATTGATTTCTTCTACAGATCCCAACGGTACGCTCTCCCTCTCTCTTGGAAATGCTCCTGTTGCTTTTATTTTTCCGGTTTATAAAATATTTTTAATTATTAAATAAAATATAACTTATTTAATGGAGAAAATAAATCTATGTTACAGATTCTAATTATGTTGCTATATAAAGATTAAAAACGTAATCTTTATAATTAATATTATATTAATTAAGTAGTCAACGGTTTTTGCCAATTTTTCTGGAGTTAAAATATTTAAATATTCCATTTCTTCTCAAACAAGTTATAAAC